AGGTCTCCTGCCGGTGCAGCCTTCACGCTGCGCCGGGCCCTGCCCGCACTGACCCATGCCCCGGCGTGGGCCCGTGGGCCGGCAGCTGGCAGGGCCGAGGGCTCTTGGCGGGGCTGGGGGAGCCCCGAGGACGGCCTGCTCGGGGGCCGGGGCCCAGGGGCGTCTGCCGGCGGCTGCAGCAGAACGGCCTGCCCGGGCCGGGCGTCCTGCGGGTCGCTGGGCCGTGCCTCGCCCAGGCGGGCGCCCCCTCTCCAGATGAGGCCGTGGGGAGAAGCCGGGACAGACGCGGAGGAAGGGTGTGGAGGAAGCCGGGCAGAGGGCCGTGGGGTGGGGCCGGCCAGTGGTGGGCAGAGCTGGCGGGGGGAAGGTGCCCAACCACCCGCTTCCGAGCCACAGACCAGCTGGGCCGCGGTCTCACGGCTGCGCCGGGGTCCAGGACCTGACCCCTGGCCCCTGGCCCCTGGGCCCTGGCCCCGCCTGGAGCAGGCAGTGGCGCATCAGAGTCGCCGTTGGCCAGAGCACCCGGCCCGCTGGTCGGGGGCCCTGGGTGGACACCACTCTGGGGGGGGCCGGCCCCCGCTCCCCCCACACCGGCCCCTTCGCCCGTGTCCCCTTTCCTTTCCCCAGTGGCCCCGCGCAGGGCGGCCCGGCGGAGGGCAGGCGGCCGTGTGGACTCTGCGGGCGGCCAGCAGCCCCCGCCGTCCGCGCACGGGGCCGGTGTCCTGCCTGCCTGGCCCTCACTTGCGGACGAGCTTTGCCACGAGCGGGTGATGGTTTCGCCGGTGCCCTGTGCCGCTTCCACTCACCTTTCATTAGTAACACACCTGCGAGAGGCGGGGGCCGGTGGCTATGGCGCCCAGGAGCCCAGCCTGTCCCCAGCACCCCGCGGGCGGCAGGCTCGCCCCGCTGCTCAGGGGCCCAGCACCCCGCCAGATCCCCCCCGGGAAAGCGTCCCCGGGCGCCGGGCCCAGCTCCTCTCACCCTGCGTCCCCGCCGGCCCTGCAGACCCAGGATCCTACTAAGCAAATCAAGACAAAGGCAGAGGAAGTCTGTTTTAAAAAGATTTATTTATGCACACAAGTGGGGTGCAGGCCAGAGGTGTGAGGGGTGAGAGTGAGGTCGTCTGCGGAGCGCGGGGCCCTCGGCTCACCCCGGGAGAGGCCCCCCCAGAGCTGCCCTCCGGCGGCGCACGGCGAGGTTGCCCACGAGGCAGCGCCCCAGTTGTATTTGAAGAGGAAGGTTGCCAGAAAGAGACGGGAGGGCAAAGACACTGGCATCGGGGCGAGCGGGCAGGAAGAGCTGCCGGGGGGACAGGCTTGCGGAGGGACAGGCCCGGTGGCTGCAGGCGGGCGGCCTCCGCCGTCCCGGGAGGTCAGCGCAGGGGAGCCCCGGCCTGGGGCAGGTCACAGGCAGGCAGGGGGCTGCTGCCCGCAGAGGGAGAGGGGGGGAGACGCGG